ATTTCGTTGGCGCCGACACTTGTGGAAATTGTGTGGGACGTCGGTGTGGACAGCAAGGGCGGAGCTGAAACCTCTGATTGGGAGCAGAGGAGATGAGTGGAGAAGCAGCTGAGAAGAAGAGTGAACCGCCACCGTCCAAGATCGAGGCTTTGGACGGCTCCAACTATGAGGAATGGAGCGGGCGGATGCGGAGTGCTTTCAAGCGCTACAAGCTGCATAAGATTGCGATGGGAGAGGAGAAGATACCCGAGGAAGGAGATGCCCGCGATCGGTGGATTGAGAAGAGCGCGGTGCTGTACGACTTGATTTTGCAGTCGGTCAACAATGATATGTTCCAGCACATCAAGGACTTAGTGGAGCTGGACGACTCGGGGTCGAAGGCATGGAAATTACTGCGCGATGTGGTTCAGCCCAACACGCTGCCGATGGTGATTGTGTTGGAGAAGGAGCTGGCTGCCCTCTCCATGAAGCCGGGAGACGACGTGAAGCCGGTCCTTGACAAGATCAAGGACACCTATGCGAGGATGGCAGCGGCGGGCAGCAAGGTGTCGGAGATGCAGCAGTGCACCAAGATCATCTCGGTGCTTGACAATTCGTGGGACAACCTCATCCCCACCCTCAACGTTCAGCAGGACAAGTGGACACCTGAATGGCTGCGGCAGCAGATCCTGCAGGAGGACTTCCGCAGGCGCCACACGGGAGGTGGTGCTGCCAACAAGACTGCTGAGGGGTACGGAGCTGCAGGAGGCAGCAGAGGAAGAGGGGGAGGGAGAGGCCGAGGCCGTGGGAGAGGCTTTGGCAGAGGAAGAGGCCGAGGTGACTACAACGAGGGGCATGGGAGCTCTGGTGGCAGGGGGAGCACCCGAATGGAGGGTGCGTGCTGGTACTGCAAGAAGGCTGGACACCCGTGGTTCAAGTGTTTCAGCCGGCCTGAGGGATGGGCGCCTCCAGGCATGAAGCCGCCAAGTGGTGAACGTGCACGAGGTGGCGCTGTGCAAGGTTCAGGTGCACAAGGTGATGGTGCACAAGGTAAAGCTGACCCTGGGTTGTTCCTCATGGTTGAGGAAGTGAAAGGGAGTGAGGATGATGTGGGTTCGGTTGGGAAGGTTGTGATGCACCCCCTCACTCACTGGGTGATCGATTCAGGTTGCACGAGTCACATGACCCCACGGGCAGATTTGCTTGATGAGGTAAAGCCCCCTGGGAAGATCAAGTTTGTGGCTGCCGCTTCAGGTGCTTTGCTCCCTGTGATTGGTGTTGGGAATGCTAAGGTGATGGGAGCCAATGGGGGACGAGTGGGGCTTGGGAATGTCCTACTTGTTGAAGGTTTATCCGCTAACCTCCTCTCTGTGCGCCGGCTGCAGAAAAGCAAGGCCAAAGTTACGTTCGGCCCAACCAGCTGCCGTGCAAAGCTTGGGAAGTTGCTGCTGTGGGATTTGGAGGAGAAGAGCAGCTGCATCAAGGACCTGTGGCAGCTGCCCATCATCCCTTGGAATGGGAAACCACCAGCAACGGCAAAGGCAGCGGCAGCGGCTAAAGCAACTGCGGGAGGAGTGGAGACTGCACCAACTGCTGGGGCCCTGAATGCAGTCAAGAAGGTGCAGCAGCCACAGCAGCCTCATGGTGAGGTGCTTGCAGGTGTGGATGCGACAGCTGCATGGGCAAAGGCTTCATCCGGGAGTGGTGAGGCCGATTGGGAGACGTGGCACGAGAGGTTGTGCCACATCAACATTCCTATGCTGCAGAAGCTAGTGAAGGATGGAAGTTTGAAGGGGATGGAGGTGAAGGGGGCAGGGAAGGAGATTGGGAGCTGCCCTACATGCCTTGAGACAAAATTCACCAAGTTCCCTTTCAGCAGCAGCACGGGACCAGCCAAGGCTCCACTTGCACTTGTGCACATGGATGTGGTGGGCCCTACGAGGGCCCCTTCTCTCTCGGGCAGCCGCTACTTTCTGACGATTGTGGACGACCACACGCGTGCAGTGTGGGTCTACCCTCTCAAGACAAAGGGGGGGGTGGCAGCAGTTGTACTCAAGGAGTGGATGCCGAGAGCTCAAAGGGAGAGCGGACACAAGGTGAAAGTGATCCGCACTGACAACGAGGGAGAGTTCATTGGTGTTGCTTTTGAGGCGGTGCTGAAGAAGAAGGGCATTCAGCATCAGCTCACAGTGCCCTACAACCCGCAGCAGAACGGCGTGGCTGAGCGGTTCAACCGGACCCTGCAGGAAGGTGCCCGCACTCTCCTTGGGCGTGCAGGGCTGCCGGATCCGTTTTGGGTGACTGCACTGAGGCAGGTCGTTGTGGTGAAGAACAGGGTGCTCGCGACTGTGGGGGACAAGCAGTGGATCCCCTACACCAAGTGGTATGGGAGTGCACCTGCAGTCAACATGCTGAGAGCCTACGGCTGCATGGTGGTGTTTCATGTGCCTAAGGAGAAGAGGGGAAAGCTGGAAGCTTCTGGAAGATGGGGTGTGCACTTGGGGCTTGCCAAGGATCACAAGGGCTGGTTGATTTGGGACTTGACCAGCCAGCAGCTGACTGTGTCGAGGGATGTGAAGTTCCTCGAGTCCTTGTACTACAAGGAGTGGAAGCAGCAGCAGCAGAAGCTTCCTACGACACCGCTGATTATTGAGGCCGATGAAGTGCAGCGGCCTTCAAGGCAGGTGGAAGTCTCCGTGTCGGGGGAGGAGATCTCTGGGATGACTGAGGATGGGGGAGAACTTGAGGTGGAGGAGGAGCAGCAGCAGCAGCAACAGCAGCAGCAGCAGCAGCCGCAGCAGCAGCAGCAGCAGCAAAGTGCGGCTGACCGTCCTAGGAGGGATGTGCGCCCTCCCAACCGCCTGACCTATCCGAGCTTTGGGAAGCCAAGTGTGGAGCCAGCTGGGAGTGTGGCTGAAAAGATTTGTGGGGATGAGATAGCCTATTGCTGTGGGGCTATATTGCGATGGTGTGGAGCTTAACGCCATGAGACAAAGGCTGCAAGGGGTGCTGCAGATTTGAGAAATAAAATGGAGATGTTGGAAGTGGGATGTGGGAAGGAGACGACTATCCATTGGGATGAGTGTTGGATGTGAATGAAGCTTGCTGGAATGAGTGTGCATTGAGGGTGCATGCTTGAGATATAGCATGTGGGATGATGGTTGGCAGCCAGAGGGGGAGTTTGTTGTGTGATGCTATCATTCGCATTCACGTCTGTCTGCCTCCCATCAAATGTTTGTGCATTGCATGCGTGGTGTGAGCGTGTGCAAGAATTTGTGATATGCGCGGTTTGGATTTTCTGAGTGTGTGTGAATGTTATTTGGCCTGAGCAGATATCTGATTCATCTGCTCAAGTGCTTTCCGACGAGCCAAGGATCGCTTCAATCGGAGCACGAACGAGGAAGTTACGAACGGTTGAAGTTCGTAGGATCTTGAAATTCGGTTGTGGTGACTATGGGAAGTTGTGGGGTTGACTCTATATGGGGTATAGACTTTTGGGGTTTGGTAATTCGAACCCATCACTGTAGAAAGCTGCCATGTGGTTGGGAGAAGCCAAACCAGGTTGGCAAGTGTGGCCAAGTGGGTTGAGGTGGATGGCATGAGTTGGGAAAGTGACAAATGTGAAAGTGGGGTTGCCTATGGAGAGGGGAATTGTGTGGCATGGGGTTTCCTTGGTTGGGGACTCCCTTGGGACCTTCCCTCTCGTCCTCCTCTTCCCTCCCACCTGGTTTAGTCCTACTCTAACTCTCTTGTGCATCAACTCTTGTGAACTTGTGAGAACTATTGTGATTGAGTTAAGCTTGTGGCAGCTTACCCCCTAGTGCGCCGAAAATCATAACTCGAGATTTACTCCACCTTTTGAGGTGATTCAAATTGGGAATGATAGCCACGGTCAAGAGCTATAACATACTCGAGTTTGAGACGATTCTAACGGTGAACGTTTCGGCGACGACGTTTCTTGTGAAATCGCGGTTTCTGTCCAGAATCCTAAGCCAACGATTTTGAGTTATTTGGGCACCTAATCTTCATAGACTCGATCCTTAATTCCCAACACACTCCTCACCTACCTTCCCCGCTCACCCATCATCTCTCGCCACTCCCCCGGTCATTCCTCATCTGCCCCACGTTCCTTCCCCCTTTCACCCCCTTCTCCCTCCCTTTATTGTCCCTCCTCCCGAGTCTCCCTCTTCCCCCACCGAACTCACCCCTCACCTCACCCTCTGCTCAACCCTCATCACTCCCCTCTCCACTTACCACTGCTTCCTCACATGCTTAACATCCCCCAACCTCCACCCCTCCTTACTCCAATGACCCTTGCCTTTTTCTCCTTCAATCTGCCTCTTCTTCCTCTTCTTTCTGCCTTTTCTTCATCTGGTTTTCATGGACTCCTTTACGCATGGCTGCATGTGGCTTGGCCTGCTGCAGGTTGAGCAGCATCAACTATGCAAGTTGTATCCTAGCTGGAGGTTGTCTGACCCAGCTTCCCAGCTGCAAGATTGCATGCATTTTTGTACACCCTGTTGAGTCTCATGTATAATCAGTGTATGTGAAAACCAGCCGAACAATCACTGGGAATACTACCCCATGCCATACAAGGCAAGAAGAATGAGAATTTACTGCTAAAAGCGCTTGGGAATTGCTGAGAAGTGCCGTATGTTTTACGGTATTCTGAGCCCACTGACACACAGCAACAAGAGCTTGATCAAGCCTCCTGTTCTGAAACGCGGTACACATAGCCAATACCAACAACTTCTTTCCCTCATCCTCCTGCCCTCGCATCTCCCACTGCTGTTTCTCAAATCCCCTACATGCACGGCCCTCCACCTGCAGCTCCAGAGCCTTTCAATTCGCCAAGAAAGCTGCCTCTCACATCCTTCTGCCCTCGCATCTGCCAGCTGCTGTTTCTCAAATCCCCTACATACACGGCCCCCCACCTGCAGCTCCAGGGCCGTTCGAGGCTCCAAGAAAGCTGCCTCGCACTCTCACATCTTCTTCCCTCACACTTCCTGCTGCTGTCGCCCTCACATCCGCCTGCTGTTGTTTCTTGAGTCCCCTGATTCGCTGTCTCTGCGTGCGCTGCCACCCCCCACCTGCAGCTCCAGTGCCTTGCGCACCACCAGCTGCATGCGGTTCTGGTTCACGGCACTCATAACCTGTAGGAGGGGTGGTTATAACGAGGATGGGTGCAGTTAGTGCCTTGCGCACCACCAGCTGCATGCGGTTCTGGTTCACTGCGCTCATATCCTGTAAGAGGGATTATTATAACGAGGATGTGTAAATTCAGTGCCTTGCGGTAACACTAAAAATGAATTCTCGAGCTTTGAATGGCATAAATGGCATAAAAGACATCGGCCCAGTAGCCAGCCCACAATCCAAATGTTTCACATGCCCAACACTCGTCAGTCCACTCGACTCACCTGCTGGATGGTGAGGCCGTATTTCTTCCTGAGGTGTCGCCTCCATGCGAGCTGGATCGTTCTAGCGGCGTGCGTGCGCCGGTTGTGACAGCACTCGCTGGGGAGCGGACGAGAAGAGACACGGGTGAGCGGCCGGGTGGGGGGCAGAAAGGTAATTAGAGAGAAGACGGGCAGAGAGGGGGTGGAGAAGGCAGAGAAAGGCTGGAGAGCATGTCTCGGCCTTGTATGGATTTTGGAGAGTTTGAATTTCTTAGTCGACTCAAAAAGCATGTCTATAGAGTATTTTGGCGGATGGGCAGACCAGCCGAGGGTTGGGGGGAGAGAAAGGGGTTGAAAGAGGTGATAGAGAAAGGACCCGCAGAGAGGACCAGCAGTGAAAAGAGCAGCGCAGAGCAACAGCACCTACTTGAGAGCCGCCTGAATCTTGCTGGTGGAGAGCATGCGGGCGAACTGCCGGCAAACGACAGCGACGTCGGTGGCTTCCAGCTCGTACCCCTCCACGGGTCCGATGCACCGCACCGTGCGCTGCGCTGTTGGCAGCACATCGATCGCTAGCGTGCCCAGAGCTGCTGCTGATGCCGATGCACTTGAACCCATGGTGACAGCTGCACGAGAATGGGAGATGGGGAGCGAGGAGAGGAGGAGGCGCAGGAGAGGGGGGGAGGAATGGGGAATGGGTGGGGGAATGAGGGGTGAAGAGCGGGGAAAATGGGAGAAATGGGGCTGGTGCCGGCACACCGTACCGTGCGCTGCGCTGTCGGCAGCACATCGATCGCTAGCGTGCCCAGCGCTGCTGCTGACGCTGATGTACTTGAACCCATGGTGACAGCTGCACGGGGAGTGAAGGATAGGGAGCAAGGAGGTGCAGGGGAGGAACGGAGAATGGGGGGATGGGGGGTGTAGAGTGAGCGCTGCTGCTGCTGCTGCTGCTGATGCACTCGAACCCATGGTGACAGCTGCACGAGAATGGGAGATGGGGAACAGTTGGATGGGGTTGACAGACAAGGGGAGGGAAAGGGGCTTGAAGACGAGAAGATGGGGGGAGTTGCTGCTGTCGGCAGCACATCGGCCTACACAACAACACAAGCTCAGAAGGATATTACTCACATCGTCCCAGGTAGCGAATGCCAGGTCCCGTGCGCGTGCGCCGGCTCTTATCCCGATCGGACAGCTTCTCAAGGTATTCCACCAGAAGCTCCTCCCCCAGGAAGTCCCCCTTCCCCAGCAGCACGCTGTCAACGAACCCCGCTCGCCCGCCGATGGTGGTGTAGCTCTCGAGCTGGCCGCGCAGCACAAAGAAGAGGCGCGACACGGGGTACCCCTCCTTGAGAATGACCGTGCCCTCTATGTACAGCTGCTGCCTCAGCTTCTCACAGAAGGCGTCTAGGACTTGCGGCTCCATGGCGAAAAAGAGCGCCGACTGGGGGACGGGGGAAGGGGGAAGAGGGGGAAAAGGGGGAGGGGACGGGGGAGGGAAGGGGAAAAGCAGAGCATGGGGACGCCAGGGATGGTGGAGGGTGGAGGGCGTGGGGAGTGGAAGGGAGGGGGTGCAAGCAAGCGCCCGCCGATGGTGGTGTAGCTCTCGAGCTGGCCGCGCAGCACAAAGAAGAGGCGCGACACGGGTACCCCTCCTTGAGAATGACCGTGCCCTCTATGTACAGCTGCTGCCTCAGCTTCTCACAGAAGGCGTCCAGGACTTGTGGCTCCATGGCAAAGAAGAGGGCAGACTGGGGGATGGGAGAAGGGGGGAAAGGGTGGGGGGACACATTGGGTGCATGCAGTGACATGGGGTACACCCCTCCTTGAGAATGACCGTGCCCTCTATGTACAGCTGCTGCCTCAGCTTCTCACAGAAGGCGTCCAGGACTTGCGGCTCCATGGCGAAAAAGAGAGCGGACTGGGGGAAGGGGGACATGGAGATGATTGCTGGGTGAGAAGGGAAGTGGGGTGGTTAGGGTAAGGACCGAGGGGAGCTGAACTCACGCATAGCAACACTCACACAGTGCATCACCAGACACACACACACCCAGCACTCGCACACTCTTCCACCACTCACACATTGCAGCAGCTCAAGGCAGAGGCTGCGGCACACGTCTGTCTGAATGTCATCTGACAACTTATCCAACACCTCCGCCTCCTCAAACCCCCTCCTCTCACTGCAGCACTCGCACTCACAAACTGAGCACTCTCACAACTCCCATCACACACTGCGCATTCTCACAACCCCCAACTCACGCATTGCAGCAGCTCAAGGCAGAGGCTGCGGCGCACGTCTGTCTGAATGTCGTCCGAAAGCTTATCCAACACCTCCGCCTCCTCCACTCCCCTCGTCGCCACCCAGTGCAGCCGCTGCTGCTTCTGCACTCGCCTGGATAGAGGGAGAGGCAAGGCAAGGTGGGGAAGAGGGGAGGCACAGGAGTGCGGGAGGGAACTGACTTAAGATGGGAGGGAAGTTTTTTCTACGCTTGAATGGGTTGGGGAGAGAGAGGAAAAAGACCCAAGGTGCGGGATAGACAGTTTATCAAGCACCTCCGCCTCCTCCACTCCCCTTGTTGCCACCCAGTGCAGCCGCCTGGCAGACCGGGAGAAACGAACAAGTAGGGCACAGGGAGGGACAGCGGGAGAGGGCTATTGGGTTCAAATAAGATGTCTTAGGTTCTCCACCCCGGGATTGAATTCCAGGCTCCATGAAACACTACTAGAAGCACATGAAAAACAGACAAACAGGGTGTTGCGATAATCTAGGTTTCATTTCACGAGCAGAAGGGAATGATATCTGTGAGAGAGACTCACTTTTGGAGGCTGAGGGGCAAGTTGCGTCTCTCCATCCACGAGTCAATGTCATGTCGCTGCAACTGGTACTCAAAGGACCTGGTGACGGGAAGAGGGAGAGAAGGGGACGAAGGGGGGAGGAAGCAGGGCAGGGGAAGAGGGGGCGAGGGGAGGAGCAACACGAGTCAATGTGATGGCGCTGCAACTGGTACTCGAAGGACCTGGTGAAGGGAAGAGGGGGAGAAGGGGGAAAGGGGGAAGGAGGGAGCACGGGGGAGGAGGAGGGAAGCAGGTTGCGTCTCTCCATCCACGAGTCAATGTCATGTCGCTCATTTCATACGTACTTTTCATATGTGCATCCAGAAATCAAATGCAGATAAACGAATGAACACGTGTAAGCTGGAGCTTCCCCCCCACCTTCTACTGAGGGCTTGTAAGAAGTTGGAGATGTTGCCAATAAGCAGTGCGAGCAGCACGAGCCCCAGCCCTATAACGAGGATGACAAAGAGCACCTCGGGATCCCACCTAGACGGCTGCAGGTTGCCTGCTAGCGTGCTCACTTGCTGTGGAGTGGGGGAAACGGGGAGAGGGGGGAGGAGAGAGGGAGGAGAGGGTGGGGAGGTGATGGGAGGACAGGGGAGTCTATCTCTGAGGCGCCTCAATATTAGATGGCTGCAGCAGATGGCCTACCTGCTGGGATGCTCAATTGCTGTGAGGTGGGGCGGGGGAGGGTGACGTGGGGCGGGGGAGGGTGATAAGAGGACAAGGCTGCTGCATTAGGTAGGAGAGAAGAAAGACTGGCCTGCAACGATGAGTAGTGAGCCCATCCGTGCTAAGGACAGAGGGAGGGACAGAGGGAGGGAGGCAGGGACGCACCTGGAAGCTTCAGAAGAAGAAGATGTATTTGGACAGAAACGCCCCTTCCGCCGCAAGAGGAACCGCGGAGTTGAAGATTCCATAGTCCAGGGGCGGGGGTGGGGTGGGGCGTCTATGCAAAGAACACGGGGAGGCATGCACGCACCTTGAAGCCCCAGAAGGAGTAAATGTACTCGTTCTGAGACGGGACAAGAAGGTCCCGTCCCGTCTGTCTCTGGCAACAGGTAGGTAGGGGCTGGCTGGGCCTGTGGACCACGCTGCCTCATATGTGGCGAGGGAGAAAGGGTCCAATCCAACCAGCATGCAGTGCATGCATGAACGGGTAGGGTAGGCACGCACCTGGAAGCCCCAGAAGAAGGAGTAGATGTATTTGGAGAGAAACGTCCCTTCCACCACGAGGGGAACCGCGTTGATGAAGATGCCATAGTCGATGGGAGTGGGCGGGGCGTCGCTGCTCGGGTTGTCCAGCACCAGGCACGCACTGGCCGGGCCTGTTGCCCACGCTGCCTCTGCTGCTGCTGCTAAGGAAAAAGGACCCATCCCGCACGCAACCATGCATGCACGCACGGGTAGGATAGGGTAGGGTAAGGGTAGGGTAGGGTAGGGACGCACCTGGAAGCCCCAGAAGAAGGAGTAGATGTATTTGGAGAGAAACGTCCCTTCCACCACGAGGGGAACCGCGTTGGTGAAGATGCCATAATCAATAGGAGTGGGCGGGGCGTCGCTGCTCGGGTTGTCCAGCACCAGGCACGCACTGGCCGGGCCTGTGGCCCACGCTGCCTCTGCTGCTGCTGCTAAGGAAAAAGGACCCATCCCGCACGCAACCATGCATGCACGCACGGGTAGGGTAGGGTAGGGTAGGGACGCACCTGGAAGCCCCAGAAGAAGGAGTAGATGTATTTGGAGAGAAACGTCCCTTCCACCACCAGAGGAACCGCGTTGGTGAAGATGCCATAATCAATAGGAGTGGGCGGGGCGTCGCTGCTCGGATTGTCCAGCACCAGGCACGCACTGGCCGGGCCTGTGGCCCACGCTGCCTCTGCTGCTGCGTTCTGGTAGGCGATGGCGCTTTCGTCGACGCAGTACATGTACTCGGGCTGACAGGCGTCGCCTTGGGAGGCACACTGGCCCGCTAGGCACGTGGTGAAGCGCTGCCCAGGGGGAAGGGGAGGGTGAGATAGGGAGAGGCAGGTGTAGGGAGAGGGTGTATGGAGATACAAGAGTTGCCTTAACAAGTGGAGACCTTAAAAATCAAGCTAGGACAGGCATACAAGACTCACCGAGGCAGCGAGGAAGTACCACATGCTGCCAACCACGTTGGACGCCATGAGATAAAAGACGAAGTTGAGCAGAAAGTTGGCCCACGCCGTCTCAAACACGAGCCCCTTGCCTTCCTAACAGCCTCAAGAATCCCTTAACAGACACCCTCAACACTCAAGTGAGGACCATCACGACAAACCACTCACCGAGGCAGCGAGAAAGTACCACATGCTGCCGACCACGTTAGACGCCATGAGGTAGAAGACAAAGTTGAGGAGGAAATTCGCCCACGCTGTCTCAAACACGAGCCCGGTGACGTGCGGCGCGTTGCCGGAGAGGATGGGGAAGAAGCGGATGGCCCGGGGGACGTTCTGAGCGAAGAGAGCAGCGAGGCAGAGCACTGTCATGGCGACACCGGTGTTGGAGGGGACTGATCGACCCATCATCGGCACAATCACCAGCATCACTATCTGAAGCAGTTGGGAATGAAGGGGAATGGGGGAGAGAAAGGGGGAAAAGGGGTATACACGCACAAAGAAAGGGGCGGAGGGAGCACAGCAGGTAAGGGTAGTAGAGGATGGGGAAGAAGCGGATGGCCCGGGGGACGTTCTGAGCGAAGAGAGCAGCGAGGCAGAGCACTGTGATGGGGACACCGGTGTTGGAGGGGACTGATCGCCCCATCATCGGCACAATCACCAGCATCACTATCTGAGATTTGGGGGTGGGGGTTGGGCGGGAGGAGGAGTGGTTGGGCAAGGTGGGGAGAGAAAGAGGATAAGTAGGCAAGGTGTTGAGGGGGGAGCAAGGTGGGCAGAGCATTGTCATGGCGACACCGGTGTTGGAGGGGACTGATCGTCCCATCATCGGCACTATCACCAGCATCACTATCTGAGATTTGGGGGTGGGGGTTGGGCGGGAGGAGGAGTGGTTGGGCAAGGTGGGGAGAGAAAGAGGATAAGTAGGCAAGGTGTTGAGGGGGGAGCAAGGTGGGCAGAGCATTGTCATGGCGACACCGGTGTTGGAGGGGACTGATCGCCCCATCATCGGCACTATCACCAGCATCACTATCTGAGATTTGGGGGTGGGGGTTGGGCGGGAGGAGGAGTGGTTGGGCAAGGTGGGGAGAGAAAGAGGATAAGTAGGCAAGGTGTTGAGGGGGGAGCAAGGTGGGCAGAGCATTGTCATGGCGACACCGGTGTTGGAGGGGACTGATCGCCCCATCATCGGCACTATCACCAGCATCACTATCTGAGATTTGGGGGTGGGGGTTGGGCGGGAGGAGGAGTGGTTGGGCAAGGTGGGGAGAGAAAGAGGATAAGTAGGCAAGGTGTTGAGGGGGGAGCAAGGTGGGCAGAGCATTGTCATGGCGACACCGGTGTTGGAGGGGACTGATCGCCCCATCATCGGCACTATCACCAGCATCACTATCTGAGATTTGGGGGTGGGGGTTGGGCGGGAGGAGGAGTGGTTGGGCAAGGTGGGGAGAGAAAGAGGATAAGTAGGCAAGGTGTTGAGGGGGGAGCAAGGTGGGCAGAGCATTGTCATGGCGACACCGGTGTTGGAGGGGACTGATCGCCCCATCATCGGCACTATCACCAGCATCACTATCTGAGATTTGGGGGTGGGGCTTGGGCGGGAGGAGGAGTGGTTGGGCAAGGTGGGGAGAGAAAGAGGATAAGTAGGCAAGGTGTTGAGGGGGGAGCAAGGTGGGCAGAGCATTGTCATGGCGACACCGGTGTTGGAGGGGACTGATCGCCCCATCATCGGCACTATCACCAGCATCACTATCTGAGATTTGGGGGTGGGGGTTGGGCGGGAGGAGGAGTGGTTGGGCAAGGTGGGGAGAGAAAGAGGATAAGTAGGCAAGGTGTTGAGGGGGGAGCAAGGTGGGCAGAGCATTGTCATGGCGACGCCTGTGTTGGAGGGGACTGATCGACCCATCATTGGCACTATCACCAGCATCACTATCTGAGAGGGTCAGGGGTGGGAGGAAATGGGGGAGAGAGCACAGAAGGTCAGGCAAAGAGAGGATGGGGAAGAAGCGGATACACGGAGTGCTGTGAAGAGAGCAGAGAGTACCTGGATAGGTCCCATCTGGAGTAGGCTTGACTGACTCACCTGGGGGATGGGAAGGGCAGCCAGCACGTCAATGAGGAACCAGGAGCGCAGGTAGCGGCTGGGGCAGGCAGTACCTGAGATGCAGTGTAGTGTGCTGCTTCAGGCGGAGGATAGCAGTGCTGGGGTAGGGTGGATCCCACCTGGGGAAGGTCTCACCTGGGGAAGGTCTCACCTGGGGGATGGGCAGAGCAGCCAGCACGTCAATGAGGAACCAGGAGTGCAGGTAGCGGCTGGCAATGACGCGCGCATCAAACTCGAGGTCCCCTGGGCTCTGCTGGGTGCTGTGAGCACAACAGGCAGGCAGTACCTGAGGCAGGCCTCACCTGGGGTAAATCTGACTCACCTGAGGGATAGGGAGAGCAGCCAGCACGTCAATGAGGAACCAGGAGCGCAGGTAGCGGCTGGCAATGACGCGCGCGTCAAACTCGAGGTCCCCTGGGCTCTGCAGGGAGCGGTCGGCCCACCAGCGGCGAAAGAAGCGGTTCTTGCGATTGGTGGGGGGCGGCACTATGTAGGCCATGCGGAACTGGTGGGGACGAAGGGTGAGGACAGAGGGGAAAGGAAGAAGGAAGGGAGGAGGGGGGTAGAGAGAGGGAAATGTTTTGGGGGTCGAAGTTTCAGGGTTTTGGGTTCGAGGTTTAGATGAGAAGGAAAGAGGAGGATTAGAGGGGTGGGGAAGGGTGTGATCTTCTGGGCTCTGCAGGGAGCGGTCGGCCCACCAGTGGCGGAAGAAGCGATTCTAGCGATTGGTGGGGGGCGGCACTATGTAGGTCATGCGAAAAGAGGAGATGGGAGAAGAGGGAGAGGGTAAGGGAGGGGGAGGAGAGTTGGGTTGGAGTCTAGGGTTCAGGGTTCTGGGTTTGGGCGAGAAATGGGAGGGGAAGTGGGTGAGATATTTGGGTGCTCGACTGAATTGTTCAATGCAAGCCAGGAGCAGATAGGAATGGGTGGACACACGTATGCTGCTAACTAAACAATGATTGGAAGAAAAGAAGAACGTCAACAGTGGTTCATAAGTGTGTTACCTGAACAACGATCTGAATGACGTAGAAGGGGTCCGCAATAGAGTGCAGTGCAGTGAGGTGAAGGCGATGGTGTTGGCAGTGAGGCGCCTCAAAATTGGGCAGTGGTGAGTTGGGATAAGCGTTACCTATATGATGGCGTTACCTGAATGATGGCGTTACCTGAACGATGGTGTTACCTGAATGATGGTATGATGGTGTTACCTGAACGATCTCTCTCACCTGAACAACGATCTGGATCACGTAGCAGAGGTCCACAAAGGAGCGCAGCACAGTGAAGGCAATGGCTGCCGTCCAGTCGAGTGTCAGACACAGCATGGCCTGGCAGGTGGAGTGGTGGGGGAGTGGGGCAGGATGGTTCGTGAGTCAACCCAAGTCAACCCAAAGAAGCAGTGAAGGCGATGGCTGCCGTCCAGTCGAGAGTCAGACACAGCATGGCCTGGTTAAGGGGACAGGGTGTAGGGTAAGGAATACCTCTAGTTGGTCAACAGAGGGTGCGGTGGGTGGGATGCTTCAACCGATGCAGGGAAAATAAGGACGGCATGCCGCCCGCATGCATGCATAGGGGCATAAGGCCCGTGCCTGCAATCCTATCCCGTTCTCCCTCATTCCCTCCCTCCCTCACTCCTTCTCTCAGTCCCTCGCCCCCTCTCACCGGCTGTGGAGCCACTTGGCTGAGCCCCTGCAGCGTGAAGAGGAACCAGGGGTCAATCGTAAACCCGAGGATGCACGCCACCATGAACACCTTGTTCCACCGCGCCATGAACTTGGAGTGGACTGCTGCCACCCATGCGACTCACTCCCTCCCTCCCTCACTCCCTCATTTACACACTCCCTATGCCTGTCCCTCTCACCGGTTCTGGTGCCACTTGGCTGAGAGCCTGCAGCGTGAAGAGGAACCAGGGATCTATAGTGAATCCCAGAATGCACGCCACCATGAACACCTTGTTCCACCGCGCCATGAACTTGGAGTGCGGGTTCAGGATGCCCCACGGCTGCCACAGCATGCTGATGGGCTGGAACAAGTCCCGCACGTCCTCCCATGCCTTGGTCCACCGTGACTTGCGCTTCTTGCGCTTCGGCTGTGTGGGAAGGAAGGAAATTTATGAGGGAAAAAGAGGGAGAGAGGGAGAAACAGGGAGAAAGAGGGTTCAGGATGCCCCACGGCTGCCACAGCATGCTGATGGGCTGGAACAAGTCCCGCACGTCCTCCCATGCCTTGGTCCACCGTGACTTGCGCTTCTTGCGTTTTGACTGGGTGGAGTGCGGTGAGAGCAAGGTGAGTGAATGGTGGGGGAGAGAGGTGGAGAGGGGGGTTCAGGATGCCCCACGGCTGCCACAGCATGCTGATGGGCTGGAACAGGCCCCGCACGTCCTCCCACGCCTTTGTCCACCGTGACTTGCGCTTCTTGCATTTTGGCTGGGTGGGGTGCGATAGGGAGGGAGAGGGAGGAAGAGGGGAGGCGTGGCGGGTTCAGGATACCCCACGGCTGCCACAGCATGCTGATAGGCTGAAACAAGTCCCGCACGTCTTCCCACGCTTTGGTCCACCGTGACTTGCGCTTCTTGCGCTTTGGCTGGGTGGGGTGCGATGGGGAGTGGTATGCATTGCATTGGAGCGGGATGGAGTGAGATGGGAGAGAGACGAAGTGAGATGCAGTGCAATGGGGTGAAGGTTGCAGACGATAAAAAGAAGGAAGCATATACCGGATGAGTGAGTGAGTGAGAGGAGCCCCAACTTGGACTCCACAGAGCTACGAGCCTCACCTTGGGCGTGTGTCATGTGAATGATGACACGAATGAATTTCTCCTCACCTTGGACGTGTAAGTGAAGCAGGTAATTCCACAGAACCGCACAATCGTCCGCTGCCCCTGCTCCGCATCATAATCATACTCATAATCATCATCGTCATCATCATCGTCATCATCAAAATCATAATCACTATCATCATCATCATCCCCTCCTCCTCCCCTTCCGCCTCCTCTCCCCCCTCGCCTCGTGGGCCTCGCCAGGGGCTCTGGAAACTCGTCTATAACCTGTGCCATGAGTTTCTTGTTCCTCAATGCATGCATTTCCGGCGGGCACGCGTTACACGTCGGATCCATACACATCATCATAGATTTCTGCACTTTCTTGGTTGCTGTAGTGGGGTTGCCAGCGGCGGTGGGGGTCATGGGTCCCCCTTGCCCCACCGTCCCTGGCAGCTGCAATCCCGTGGGTTTTGAGAAGCCTGACGCGAATTGGACGGACATGCGCCGCTGCCGCGCGGCTGCTGCCGCGGCGCTGCCCGGAGTGAGCATCTGGCGCGTCCCCCCCGCGCCAGGGAGGCCTCCCCCGATGGACTCGTGGCGCTGCCGGCGGAATGGGTCTTGGGGGATACTATCGGAGCCTGTAATAAGGAGGACAAGGCAGAGCAGGTCATGAAATGAAGCCACGAATGCATCTTGCTCTTGCAAGAAAGTGAGCGGGTGGGAGAGAACAAGAGAGACAACACACAGAGAGGCGAGAAAAGGAACCGACTCGGAGAACAAACGGACCTGAAGCGCTTGGTTGATTTGGCCGAGTGAAAATCGCTGAGGCAGTCGTCCTTGCACGGCGGGCGTTAGGTTTGGGCGCGAGCAGGTCAGGAGCTTCGGACGACAGTGCGCGGGAGTGGCGAGGCTTGGATGGAGGAGGGACTGTAGCCGCGGGTGTGATCGATGGCGGGGCGTCTGGCATATCGAACTTCACCTTCCTTTCCCCCCCTCCTCCGCCGCTGGCGCCGCTGCCGCTGCTAGCGCCGCTAATTCCACCACTGATCACACCGCTGAGTCCGCCGCTAAACCCGATACCGGCTATGTCACCAGCACCACCAAATAAACTCCCGCTTCTCTCCCCTCCTCCGCCTGCGCTTCCCCCGCGGCTGGCTTTCCAGGCGGAGCTTTCAGAGCGGGGAATTTCGCCCGAGCCTCCTAAGAGGCCCACGCCGCTTCCCATGGATCCCGCCTCCGACTCGGGCGAATCCGAGTCTGAGTCATCGCCGTCGTCATTCCACGATAGGCCGCCTATCCGAGCCGGGAACTTAGGCTGGGGAAAATCCATCTTGCACCAAGCCTGACGAGACGTCAAGAACCTGACGCGGGCCTTCCGCTAGACTGGCAGATTAATGTAAATCTAACAGCATAGTACAAGCCAACCCGGGTTAATACCGACTCACATAATACGGCGACACCACTGCTGGCTGCCTGTAGGGAGACTTCTAAGGCTTCCGGGGAAAATAAAATATCATATAAATACAATAATGCTACTGTTCGTGAACTCCAAATGTCCTACTAGACGGGTCGTGAATTGTACTAAATGAGTATGATTCCGCCAATTTCGGTTCAATAAGAAGAGGCTTTCGTGGAGGCTTTTGTTGCGGGTCCTAATCACGGAGTAACCACACTGAAACCAAAGTGGATGTCACGCCTACTCACTACTTGGATTATACGCCGCGGATGTGTGCCATTATACGATCCTAATGAGTCCTTGCGATGAGAATTTCATAAATAACTACGGTCCTAGAAAGCCGCAGCTCTCATACGGCCAAGTCGGGGCTTCAATGGATACGCTAGACTGGCTGTATGAACAAATGATACGAGAAGTTCTGAATAGCAAAGAACCGAGTTGATTTGAGGTGAGGTAAAAATGGTGCGAAACGGCGGTGCATAGTTAAGAATGGTTATGAGTGGTGATCACCGAAGAGATGCTGGTGGTGAGGTGAAAGGTTATGATCCGAAGGGGTGAGCGCTATGGTCATGATGATGACGATGATCTCAAGGGCCGAGGCGAAGTGGTAGGTGCGGTGACGCGTGACGGCATCGCTGAATGCTGCAGCCATTCTCGATAACTTCGGGAGAACCCGTCTAAAGTTCACTGCTTCGTTAACTTCTACGGATATAGCCTGCACACTGAAGCTTTGCAACATATATATTTTACTGAGTCGCACGGAATGCTAATGTTGCGGAGCTTCACTCCCAAATCAATAACGGCTTGAGATACCTGTTCATGTGCTTCACTTCAGAAATAATTCTGTCTGTGAGGTTTGGATGGATCACGGAATGGTCAGGAGACCATAACTCGGTTGAGCGTGCCATTTCACGGCTTCTGGTCAATTCATCCGTTGATCTAAAGCGAAGCTCGGGCTCTTGATACACCAACGCAACCTAGTAATCAAAGAGAGAAACATAAATCACAGGCAGGCAACAAGTATTAGAAAACATACAGTGGATGCACTATTGGAAGAACGTGGACACAAGCATGAGAATATGACATACTGAAAAGGGACAGGGAGAAACAGCAGAAACAAGAATGTGGGCCATGAAGACTTCACATACCTGATGGCCTGAGAGCCACACTTGTTGGCAGAGGTCCCAATCCGATAGCGCATCTATACCTCCATCAATCGCACTGAACCCCCCAACCTTCACGAACACGTCTCGTCTCGCCGCCATCGGCCCTGTCACCGTCCCAAGCACAAAACTCATCCTCACTCCTGTCACCGGATCTCTCAACCTGTTCCAAAACTGATCCCCCGCATTCCGCACCTCCCCCAGCTGCAGGCTTCCTGGATCGTTCCTCAGCCCCATCTTCCCCATGGAATGCCCTGCAATCCCCAGCCGGGGCCAGGCCGAGAAAGGCGCGACGAGATTCGCTGCCCAGTCGCAGGAGAATGAGGAGTCGGGCGGCAGATCGCCGCCGGCGAGGAGAATGAGGACGGAGCCGCGGGCGAGGAGGGAGAGGAGGTTGTAGGCTCGAGCGGAGCCCATACGGGATGGGGCGAGGATGTGCGTGAGGAACGAGCCTGGGGAGGTTCGGCGGGTGGCTCGGATCCAATCCGCAGGGTTGTAGTACTTCTCAAACCCTGGCACCGTGCCTGGTATGCCTTCGCTGCTGCTGCTTCCACTGCCACTGCTATTGCTGCTGCCACTGCTACCACTGCCACCATCACCGCTGTTGCTGCTGTTATCCCCACTGCCGCTCCCACCCCCCGCCGATTTCCCATGGCGGACCATGGCAGAGGCCTGGTGCAGGGGAATGGAGGGGCCATCTAGTAACACAAGGGCTTCAGATGTGAGTCCCCCCAGCCGCCCGCCTATGCTGCCCGCCCTGAGCCGCCCGTGCGTGCACTCGTACAGCTTGGAGACGAGGTCCAGCGCGGCTGTGGTGGGCGGCGATGTGTAGATCAGGAAGGAGATGTTCACTGCAGCTGCTGACGTGGCGGCTGCTGACGTGGCAGATTCAGTGGATGAGCCTGGACCTTCGGCTGAATGAGAGTGGGTGTGAGCATCACCTGTAGCAGCACCTGTAGCAGCGCTTGTAGCAGCAACGGCGGATTGCCCTGCTACAGATGCTCTATCCGTAGTTGGCGATTGAGACGCCGACGAGAGTAAGGAGGAGAATGAGGAGGAAGGAGAGGAGGAGAATGGGGACGAGGCAGGAGCATTGAAGGCGTAGGAGCGAGGAAAAGTGGGGAAGGCCGAGGGTTGGGTGGGGAATGAGAGGTCCCATAGGGGTTGTCGCCACAGAGCAGAGGGGGCTAAGGGCCCTGATAGGGAGTCTGATTCTCTTGAGTCTGATTCTCCTGAGTCTGATTCTCTTGAGTCTAATTCTCCTGAGTCTGATTCTCTTGAGTCTGATTCTATTACAGGATCCAACTCTTTGCCTTTGCCCCCACCATCAACACCCTCTCCCTTTCGTTCATTGCCTTTCGCCATACCTACTCCTCCTTCTGCCCCTCTGCTGTCCTTGCTCGTCCCGTTCTTTCCTCCTCGCTCTTCTTCCGATATCCAGTCGGCCAGAGCGCACGGAGACACGTCAGCACCCTCGGGGCTCACCCAGGAGGCGCTGACGTGGCAGAGCTCAGGAAGCTTCCCCTTGGCTTCCTTCACTGCAGCAGCAGCGTGGTCGGTGCGCAGTTTAAGTGCCAGAACTGTGTTGTTTTGGGAGTTAACTAAGCTTTGCATGGTTGAGACGAGTGAGGGGTGGTGGTCGGTAGAGAGGAATACGGAGGGGAAGTGGGACGCGGAGAAGAGGAGGTCTGACCACAGTGATGCTTCTGCTGGACACATGGGGAGGGGAGTGGAGGGAGGGGAGTGAGGGGGAGGGGAGTGAGGGGGAGGGGAGTGAGGGGGAGGGGGGGGGGATGGTAACAGGCGAGGGAAGAAGTGGATGAGGAGGGTGGGGTGGGTGGGTCGGGTGGGGGGAGAGGTTATGTGGGTTTCGGTGTAAATGTGCGAGGGATGGTGGTCGATGGAGAGGAATATGGAGGGGAAATGGGTTGCGGAGAAGAGGAGATCTGATCTGACTACAGTCATGCTTCTGTACTATTCTGTTGTGAAACACGGGGAGGGGAGCCGTCAGCCTGAGTCGGGAAAGCAAGCAGACTCACTTGGTGGATCAAGGGCGGAGAGAAAGGCGTTCCTAGCAGTGGATAGGGAGAGCAGGCTGGAGCACTGATAGAGACGTGAGGCGGAGTGAAAATACAGCAAGCAGACTCACCGGGTGCATCGAGGGACGAGAGGAAGGCGTTCCTAGCAGCAGGAGAGGACAGCAGGTTGGGTTGCTCTCTCAGTCGCTGCAGCTTCTCTCCGCTCCCCGGTTGCTTGAGCACTGTTAACGCCACGAGGCGGAGGGAGAGTGTGGCATGTGCTGCCATGTATGCTTGCATGGCTGATGGGAGGGAAGGGAGCAGAGGGAAGAGAAGAATGGACCAGACTCCTCCATTATAAGAAAAAAATAGAAGAGAAAACATTTTTCTTTTCTGAAGATGATAAAAAGCCAAGAATGTGCAGCACAGCAGGAGAATGTGGCATGAAGCTACTCCCACCGTAATTCACACTCACCTTGTGTGTGCGTGGGCCTGCCTGCTCACCTTGTGTGTGCGCCTGCTGGGCCTCTTGCGTGAGCTGCAGTGCAGCAGCGCAGCGCGAGAAGCTGAGGCGCAAGTCAGCATGCACGGCTCGCTCTATCTCTTCCCTCAGAGACACCACTCGCACCTGCAAGGGGTGGGAGAAGGAGGGGTGAGTGAGGAAGAGGGGGACGGAGGGGATGACCTTGAAATGTCTCGAAAACAAGTCAGCATGCATGGCCCGCTCTATCTCCTCCCTCAGAGACAGCACTCGCACCTGGCCGGCAGTGGTTGGGGGTAGGGATGTGGGGGAAGGGAGTGGTTGTGGGATGTCTTTCAATCGTCTCAACAAGTCAGCATGCATGGCCCGCTCTATCTCCTCCCTCAGAGACAGCACTCGCACCTGGCCGGTGCGGAAGGGGGTGGGGGGGTGAGGGGGAAGGAAGGGGGTGCGGAGGTGAGGGGGAAGGAAGGGGGTGCGGGGGTGAGGGGGAAGGGAGGGGGTGGGTGGTTTTGATTTGAGATTTCTCAAAATTGACTCAACAGGTCAGCGTGAACAGCCCGCTCTATCTCGCCCCGCAGAGACAGCACTCATACCTGGCCGGTGTGGGAGAAGGAGGGGTGTGAGTGAGGGAGAGGGGGACGGAGGGGATGACCTTGAAATGTCTCAAAAATAAGTCAGTATGCACGGCCCGCTCTAATTCCTCACGCAGAGACAGCACTTTTACCTGGCTGGTGTGGGGCAAAGGGGGGCAGGGATGGGGCAAAAGGGGGCAGGGATGGGGCGTTGAGGCAGGGATGGGGCTTTGAGGCAGGGATGGGGCTTTGAGGCAGGGAAGGGGCTTTGAGGCAGGGATGGGGCTTTGAGGCAGGGATGGGGCTTTGAGGCGTCTCACAATTTACTTCAGCAGAAGGATAAGCCCGCCCACACCACAATCATCGTCTCATGCTCTCACGATCTCCCACCCACCTGCGCTCCCACCCACCTGCGCTCCCACCCACCTGCGCTCCCACCCACCTGTGCTCGCGCCACAAGCTCCTCGTCTTTTGTGTCCACGTCCGGTCGCCGCCTCGCAGTGAGGGCAGCAATCTCCCTCAGCTCAGCCGGCGGCGATGGGCGATGGCAGCCCATCTGTATCATCACATTCAAGGTATCATGCTCTGCTCTAATAACCTCTAACCCACCTGTGCTCGCGCCACGAGCTCCTCGTCTTTTGCGTCCACGTCTGGTCGCCGCCTCGCAGTCAGAGCAGCAATCTCCCTCAGCTCGGACGGGGGTGATGGCAGGTGCCTGTCGTCCACATAGTAGGTCAGGGCGCGCTGATCCTGCACCAATTTGATCTCCTGGTTACCAGGAGAAGGTGGAGGGAACAGAAGGTGGAGGGAACAGAAGGTGGAGGGAACTGAAGGTGGAGGGAACAGAAGGTGGAGGGAACCGAAGGTGGAGGGAACCGAAGGTGGAGGGAACCGAAGGTGGAGGACAGATAGATAACGATAGTGATGGCAGGTGCCTGTCATCCACATAGTACGTCAGGGCGCGCTGATCCTGCACCAACTTGATCTCCTTGTGGAACGTGGAATTGCAGGAGAGAAGGGGGTGAAGAAGAAACGGTCTGATTCTAACAGAACTGAGTGTCGATTTCAGAAGCCTGTTGTTAGCATACAAGGTCAAGGCGCGCTGGTCCTGCACCAACTTGATCTCCTGGATTCCAGGAAGTGCCGATGTTTCAAGATAGACGTGTGAAAGGGAACAGGAGGTGGAGGAAAAGCAAAACGAGATGGCAATGGTGATGATGATGATGGTGATGGCGACGGGAGCAAACAATCCAGAGACAGGGGCAAAGTGGGAGGAGGACAAGAGCAACAGAAGAAGTATATCACCGGAGCTCTCTGAAATATTGAAACCGAAGCTTGTTCCACTCCCATCAACGCTCAGCTCCCAAGAATGCTCAAAGTGCGTTTTCTTACCACTGAAAATGCTCACCTTGAGAATGCGAGTCCGTGCTTCCAGCATCACTGTCTGCCGCAGCTTCCCAGTCGACTAAAAAGTCACCTGATAATTTTTTCCCTTTGGAAATTTTCACCTTGAGAATGGTTTTCAGCTGGGCCATGCGCGTCCGTGCTTCCAGCATCACCGTCTGCCGCAGCTTCCCCAGCGCACGGCGCAGCTCCGTGTTCCGCGCCAGCAGCTCCTCTGCCTCTGCCTGAACGCCTGCCACGTCACCTCTCCACGTGGCATTGCTGGCAGCGTCCACGTCAGCGGCCACGTCAGCCGTCACTGCAGCAGCTGTTGCCACGTTGGCAGCATCAGCAGATGCTGACACGGGCATGGAAACGCCATCAGCAGCAGCAGCAGTTGTGGCAGCGGTGGGTATGAAAGCGATTGGGGAGGAGAAAGCGGTGGTTGTTTTGCCAGGGGAAGGGGATGGAGGTAAGACCTGAAGAGTAAAGTGTGAAGGGAAGGGAGCAGGAAAGCAAGGGACGGCAATAGAGGGGGCCATACATGGAAGGCATCGCTGAATTATGCATTGTTGGAAGAGCATACACAAGCTGAGTGGTGTTGTTGTTGATGTTGTTTCTCTATAATGAGTATACTCTTCAAGTGCAACGTGGCAACAGTTAAAGGAGTCGTATGGCAGACGTGAAGAGGACAAAAAAGCCTAGAAAAGAAGGCATGTAACCGGAGCAGCATACGCACGGCCTTTCTCCTTTACCCTATCAAGATTATGAATTCTCCAGAAATCTAGGAATTTGATTGGTTCATTCATCCAAACGGGAGATCAGTTGTGCTACTGTTCCTGAAGCTCATAGACCCAGCGATCAGAATTTCGAACTGGGAAGATTTTGAAGGGGAAAATGTGTTGGAACAAATTCTGGTGGTAAAGAATAAGGCAGGGGACGAAGGCGGGAACGGTGAGACGAAAGCAGCACTCACGGCGGGAACTATGGTTGCGGTTAGGATCCCTCCCATCAGCGAGCCAATGAGAAACGATGCAAACCAGCCGACAGTTGACCGCCTGTGATTGGAGAAACGGTGGAGATCGGACGCAGGCGACGGCTGTACGAGCAGACAGGACGATACCAGGGACTGAGATGGAATGTGTTACAGTACCATAACGATTATTTCATTCTTCTCTTACATTCCGTGCGAACGGCTGAGATGGAATGGGGTACTGAACGGTACCATGACGAAGTTTTAAATATATTGCTTGATTTTCAACGATGAACGGTCGACGGAAGATCCTCGTACCTTGACGGAACATCTTCAGTGCCGCTGGACCTCACGGAAAGTGCTGCCTTGGTTACAACGGCAGTCGCTACATTCGCACTACTCGTTCGCGGCGCACCGCTTGTTGGAGCAGTACGACCACTACCTCTCCCTTGACCGAAGCCCCCAGACCGCATCGTCAAGTCCACTGATTATACTAACTTTGCGACATTTCCGTCGGGAAAACAATGTAGTTTGCCAGGATAAGTACGTGTTTTCCTGCTAAATCGGAAATGCGAGAAACCGGTGAACTAGGTCTTTCAGGGCTCCTACTGTAAAATCCACCCGCAGCTGGCGGCGAAACCAGCGGCCGTGCGTTGGGGGCACAAAACCTGAAACTGGAATGTACACAAGATGCCCAACCATTGCACGCGAATTTGGTCTGCCCGGGCTCAACAGCCTGCCCAATTGCAAGTAGCACCAGCCAGTTGCTCCCACGATACAAGCCCATATTTTGATCGCAGCCGTTGAACAAACAGCTTATCACGCTGGCATCCGTCTGTTCGTGAGATATTTTAAAGAAGCTGGTAATATTTTTCCACCTGCCCACTACAGTCCCAATTTTGCCCGTGGCGAATGTTGGCGATGTAGCGAAACAAGGTTGCTCACTACACACCCGAATGACTGCGCGTGAGTCCGCCGCGATGAGTCCGCCATGGATTATTCCGCGCACCTTCGAGTCTAGATCCTGTGAAGGTTCCTTGTCAGTTGGCCTTAATAATTATAGATCTGGACTCCTTGTTACAAGGCGCATCGATCGATACTTCTTTTGTGTCTACACGTCAGACATCGTATCCTTCGTTACCCAAGATCCAGTTTCTTGTCAGGCTTCTAACTTCAAGGTTATTTTTCCCTGGCTACTAACTTCAAGGTCTTGGTTTCCCACTTTACGATCTCGGCTGGTTAGCGAGGACTACGCTGCATCTATTAAGGTTTTTTCCGACCATGATCCCGAGGCTTCTACCTCGGTGTTTCATCATCAGCAGCAAGAGCAATGGTCCTACGCTTCAGCATTACTCCTATTTAACCAGTTCGTGCTCAGAGCTTTGGCATCAACTCAGACATCAAAAGTCTGCTTTCCAGCCTCTCTGCCAGTTTGCTCTCATCATTGCACGATGCCTCCTAAGGGGAAGTCTAAGATTCAGCTGGAGGCTTCGTCGTCGGAGCTCCCGTCAACGTCCTCTAGGGCTGCTCCTTTGTCTCCTGCTCCTGCTCCTGCTCCGCTGGATTCTGCAAGCAAGGGAAAAGGCAAGGTTGTTGATTCTGGCAATATGACTCATGCTGACGTTCCGGCAAGTGGTTCAGGCCTTTCATTGGAAGAAAAGCTGCGCTCTCTACGCACGGCTGCACCTGACAGTGGCTTTCTTGAGGACGACTCTGATGAGGAGCTCGAGGTTGACGTCAAGACGGAGGCCTTCAACCATGTTCGTCACGCGGCGATTCTTCTGCTTCCGGTGGCTCTCTCTCTGGAAGTGGCCTCGGTCATCACCACGGTTCGCACCCTGATGAGGCGCGTTTGGTCGTCTTCGCTCTCCGATGGTGCTGCTGATTCGGCGAAGTTCCAGGAACTTCTCCCGGCGTACGTGGCGAAGACCCGCTATGGTCGGCTGCAAGTCTCCCTCCTGCATGAAGACGACATCATGAGCATCAGGTCGAAGGAGGTGGACTACACGCGTCCGAATGGTACCGTTTTCAGGCTCTACTGGCAGCACACTGACAACCCGGCGTTTGTGCGGGAACGTGCGACGAATGCTCAGGCGATTGAAGTGGTTATTCGTGACGTACCTGCGACGAATACGCCTGAGATGTTGCGGGAGCTGATGGTGGTCTACCAGTTGCGGAATCGGAAGCGCTCGGCGTTTAAGGACGGTGTCTGCTTCCACCGTGTTCTGCACCCTGTCACCGGCGCGGATACGGATATCATCAAGGGCCTTGTGATCCCGCACCCTGGCGATCTCTACCGCTGGCGCCATGTCTTCCAGGATCCGTCCGAGCTCGGTCGCCGCTACTTGGTCCACTTCCCTGCGCTGTCTTGCCTGCTTTGCGGTGGTCACCATTATGATGTCAATCATGATGCGTTCACAACAGAGCGGCAAAACAACATAGGAAAGTGGAATCTTACCTTGGGGAGGGTTCATCGTATTAATGGTAACTGCTGTTTTAACCATGACCACTGTCGCTGTTGTGTTTCTTCATCTGCTAACTTCCCAATGTTACCGTGTAGCTGCCTCCCTCCCGGCTTCGCCGCTGATCACTCCCCTTCTGCTGGATCCGGCGATTGTGCTCATTTCCACGGGTGGGAACCGCGAGGAGTGGATCTCCACGCAAGTGGGATGCGGAAAGGCCAAAGGAAAGAGCTTCATGTCTGCAGCAGATCACATCACAACGGCCAACCATCTCATTCATCTGGAACAGCTCGGCTCTGCAACGCGTGCCTCTCTCGAGAAAGCAAGTCTCAACGTCACGAGGAAGGAGTACGGTCTCTGAAGCAGGAGCAGCATGGTAGGCGTGCAGCCTCAGCGGCAGTAGGTCTCATGGTAGTCAGTGCGGTGTTCTTCTTTACCCTGTGGATGCGTAGGGGTTCTCAGATTGTTATTAAATGAGTAAGAAAAGCCTTATCAGCTTCGCGGGCCTTAACGTTAACGGCCTTGGTGATAAGTCCAAACAGCAGCGTGTCCTAGACTGGTCCAGACAAGCAGCAGACATCATAGTCCTCTCAGACACTAGATTAGCCTCAGATCACCCTCTCTGGTCTCACCCCACTTACAGTTTAGCAGCAGCCGCTTCACCTAGATCAAAGGCCGGTGGGGTTGCCCTGCTCTGTAGATCGCAGCTTCTCCACTTTAGTAACGTTGTCGTCCATCCCTCGGGTAGAATAGTTGCCGCTGAGATCCATGGTCTCGGTCTTCATCTTACCGCTATAGCCTGTTACTTTCCAGCCAACCCGACTTCTCGCGCTACTTTCATCCGCGATACCTTAGGTCCCGTAGTAGACTCGATCTCGCCGTGCAGCCACCTGCTCATCATGGGGGATCTTAACATCATAGAAGACCCTGTGTTAGACAAATCATCGCGTTTAGGTTCCCCTGCGGAAAACGATAGACTCTTCAACCGCTGCAGTTCTTTCCAGCTCTCAGTTGCCTTTCGAACGCTATATCCCAGAAAACGAGAGTTCACCTTTTTTTCGCAAGCTCAGCAAGTCAGCTCGCGCATTGACCGGGCCCTCATCTCGCACTCGCTTTTACCGCATCTGATTCAGGCTTCGCATGTCATGCTAGCATACTACATTTCCGACCATAGTTTCGCGATCCGTATTGCTCTCCGAATCGACGCCAAACTCAGCCTCGGCCCCGGTCTCTGGAGGCTTCATGCCTCACTTGTGCACAAGCGGGGGGTTCGTAAAGTTGTTGAAGCGACGGTGGAGCGGTGTGCGGTCACGGACGGTAGCAGCTTCGAACTCCTGCTCTCGAGGCTGGCTGCCGGGCTCCGCGCTTTTGCGAAAGAGGAGGGTAAACGGGTTAAGGCGACAGCGACTCACCTGGTGGACGTTGTTGCTAACCTTCGTCAGGCGATGATGCGTGATCCGTCCTGCAAGCAAACAAGTGAACGGTTAGCTGTAAAGGAGGCGCAGCTGCGGGAGTACCAGGCTTCAAGGAAAGACCGGCTGCGGGACTGCGAACGGAGCTTAAGGGGGAGGTCGCGTCACAGCACCTGACGGCGATGGTGCAGGCACGGAAGGCAAGTACTCAGATCGCGGAATTGCAGACGGCAACCGGAGTGGTGTCGGACTCACAGGGGATTCTTCGGGCGGCGTCTGCTTTTTTCGCCGAAATCTTTGGGCGAGACCGCTGTCAGCTTGAGGAAAAGTGATGTCCCGACAAGGACAAGGTGCTACGGTCATGGGAAGCGGCGGAGCTGTCAGCGGACTGGACGGAAGAGGAGGTGAAGCGGGCCTTCAGCGCGATGGCGGCAAACAAGTCCCCAGGCAAAGACGGGCTGCCGAAGGAGCTCTTTGAAGCTCACTGGGATCTGCTTGGGAAAGGATTTATGGCTCTCGCCAAAGACTTCGCGAGAACGGCGGTGCTCTCAACGGAGGTGAAGGAAGCGGTGACGATCCTGTTACACAAAAAAGGCGACAAGGATCAGCTCAATAATTATCGCCCGATTACTCTGCTCAACTTTACGTACAAGGTGTTGGCGCGGGTTATGGCTGACAGAATGAAAAAGTACCTGGGGAGGGTAATTTCGCCGGAGCAGTATGGCTTTCTCCCGAGAAGGCGGCTTACGGATGCTGTGGGGCTTGTTGCTGACATCATCGACTCCGCGCGCAATGATAACGAGGACTGGTTCCTCTTGTTGGTGGATTTCAAGAAGGTTTTTGATTCCGTCTCGCGCGGCTACCTTTTCCGGACGATGCGGGCGATGGGCTTCCCGGATCGGTTTGTGCCTTGGGCGGAGGGCCTGCACGAAGGAACGCAGACGAGGCTGTTAGTTAACGGATGGATGGGGGATGGCGTGGAAGTGGTTTCTGGAGTCCGACAGGGTTGTCCCCTTGCGCCCTACCTCTTTCTGTGTGCGGTCGAGCCGCTGGCGCAAACGGTTCTTAAGAAGAAGATGGGTATCAGTAAAGCAAGTGAGCGGCTGGCGTACATTGGGTACGCAGACGACACAACATTGGTCCTGGAGGGGAAAAAGCAGCTCATCAAAGCTGAACAAGTGTTGGCGAAGTTCGAACTGACGTCCGGGCTGGCAACGAACCGTGATTAGTCAGTAGTCCTGCCGCTGGGGAACAACCTCGGCAGGACAACGGGCCGCACGCACAGCTTCAGATGGGCGAAGGCGGATGAGGCGGAGAAGCTGTTGGGTGTGTGGATCACGCCTTCGGGAAGCTGCCTGCCAACATGGGAAAAAACCTCGGAAGACATATCGGGGAAGGTTAAAAAATGGGAGCAGAAATACTTGCCGACAACGGCGCGTACGGCGGTTGTCAACAGCTACACGATGCCGAAGGCGGCTTTCCAGGCGCAAGTTTATCCGCCGCCGGCGAGGCAGTGGGGGAAAATCTCAAAAACGTTCGAAAACTTCGTCTCTGGCAACAAAGCAACAGCAGACAGAGTCTTCCGCCTCTGGAGTAAGGACCTGCTATACACTCCAAGGAAGCTGGGAGGGGTGGGAGTGCACGACCCGGAGATGATCTTGGCCTGTCTCACGGCGAGGAGGGTGGGGCTGTTAGCATTGGAGACCAATCAGCTGAAGAGACACATTATGGTGCGGGCGGCGGATCTCCCGATGGGCATTGAGACTTTCTTCGCCCACGAGAAGCTGCTGAAACATTGGGATGCGAAAAGCACTCGCTGGAAGGTCGCGTGTGAGAACTTCATGAAGACGCCGCTAGGGGTTCTCCCTGAGGCGGCTACGAGGGAAGCGGTGTCAGAAAGAAGAGACTGGAATGATTGAACTATGAGTGAAAGCAGTACAAGTACCAAACCCTAGAATTGTGTACCCCCTATAGGCTAACCCACTGTAGCCTAAACAAACACAACATATATAATGTTTGACACACCCCCATAGGCAAAGTGGGGGAGAGCAAGGGGTCACAAGACCAGTCAAAGCAAAGCAAAACAAGCTCAGGGTGGATCTCAAGGATACCACACAAATTCCGAGCACAAGCAAGCGGTCACAAGACCAGTTCACATGCAGGTTGATAATATAACAAGAGATACAGTGATCACAACCTAGCAAGTGTAAACATGCAGGTATATATATAAAGATCACAGTACAAGCAGGGTCAAGAAGTAAGTAAGTGAGGTCCAGCAGGCACAAGGCCTAGAAGAGTACAGAAACGCTGATGGTCACAAGGCTGAAGCGCCTTGGTGAACACATCAGCAAGGTTGGCCTCAGTGGCCACGTAACGCAGACGAAGCTGACCACGCTGCTGCAGCTCTCGAGCAAGGAAGTACCGAAGGGCGATGTGCTTCGTTCTGTGCTCCAGTCTGTGCTCCTCACACAAGGCAATGGCAGCCTGGTTGTCGACGTACAGCACTGGAGGAGAACGAGGCCGCTCTCCCAAGTCGGTCAGCAGGTAGGTCAGCCAGCGAAGCTCCTGGGCAGCCATGGCTGTGGCGTAGATCTCAGCCTCACAACTGGAGCTGAGAATAGAAGAAGAGCGTGTAGAACGCCAAGAAACTGAGCCGGAGCCAAGGCTGAAGGTGTAACCCTGAGACGACCGCTGAGTAGCCTGGTCGTCCGCCCAAGAAGCGTCTGAGTGTCCAGTAAGTACAACTCGGTCTCGCCCTCCAAGCACTAGCCCCATGCCCGACGTACTGCACAAGTAGCGCAACACCCTCTTAGCGGCATCCATGTGCTCCTTCCTGTGACGGCCAGGAGCGACATAGCGTGCAAGGATGCTAAGAGGGTATGCAAGGTCAGGTCGAGTGCAGGTTATCAGGTACATGAGGCAGCCCACAAGCTCTGGATACGGGCCACTCGGCTCTACGGACTCATCCGAAGGCAGAGCTGAGAGCGAGTGACCGGTAGGCAGAGGAGTGGACTGAGGCGAGGAGTACGTGAAGCGGAAGCGCTGAAGGATCTGCTGCACCATGTGTGACTGAGTCAGGGTGATGGTGCGCCGTGCTCTGTCCCGGGTGATCCGCAAGCCAAGATAGCTTGTCAGTTCACCCAGGTCTGTGCACGTGTGTCTCCTCTGCAGCTCCGACTTCACGTGGGCGAGTGCCGCGGTGTCAGCAGTGGCAAAGACCAAGTCGTCAACGTACACGAGGATGTAGAACGGCGGCAGTGAGGTGTCTGTGCGTAGAAACAGTGACGGGTCAGCAGTAGAGGGAGCGAACCCAAGAGCCGCAAGTGTCGTCCTCAGTGTGTCGTGCCACTCACGCGGTGCCTGGCGGAGACCGTAGACCGGCCGCTGAAGTCTCCACTGGGTACCAGGAGGAACCGACCCAGTGAAGCCAGGAGGGCGGCGCAGCCAGATCTCCTCGTGTAGGCTGCCCTGCAAGAAAGCAGTGCTGAAGTCAAGTGAGTGAAGCTCGTAGTCGCGCTGAGCGGCTATGTGCAGCAGCACCCGAAGAGTGGTCATCTTCGGGGTGGGGGAGAAGGTCTGAAAGAAGTCAACTCCCTCTCGCTGACTGAAGCCTCGAGCCACGTAGCGCGCCTTGAAGACAGGAGGAGAACCCGGCGGCCGCTTCACCCTGAAAATCCACATGCCACTGACGATGTTCGCCCCAGGTGGGGGAACCTCGTCGACGTAGGTGCGTGTGGACTTCCAGGAAGCCATCTCTGCGTCCATGGCTGTCTGCCACTGAGAGGAGTAGGGACCCGCCATCGCCTCAGCGTAAGTGCGCGGGGTCGGGATGTCTGGTGCATCCGGGTCTCCCTCATGGGCAACTAGCATGGACACGAGGTGGGGTAAAGCAGCAGCAAAGCACTGGAACTCCTCCTGTCTGTCCTCAAGGACGTCCGTGCCAAGAGCACACTCACCCCCGACGGACGGAGGACAGACAGACTCAGACTCAGACTCAGCAACGAGGCTAGTGGCGTAGTCTAGACGACAGGCAGCAGCAAAGTCAACTAACTCAGCGACCAGAGAAGACGCAGCGGTGGACTCAAAGGTAGGGTCAGTGACAACAGTAGCGAGGAGACGGGTGACAGTGGGACTGGTAGCACGACGGGAGTCAGACTCCGGATCAGGAAGAGTAGGCAGAGAGGACGCAGGAGGAGACGGCAGCGGAACACGCTGAGGAGCAGTGGAGGGACGCAGAGTCATGTAGTGAGTGCCAGGGACAGGAGGAGGACGCTCACGTGGGACACGACGACCAGTGCGAGCAGGACGAACAGGCGACGCAGGACGAGACTCAGGCTCACGACGCTCGGTAAGACCTCCTGTGGGACCAGTGTAAGGAGAGGGACCAGGGAGAAGCGAGGCAGGCGGGAACTGTGACAGCGACTGGACAGGCGGAGGACACTCGACGGAGGGAGGAGGACAAGGAGGAGGAGCCTGACCAAGAACCTGCTGAAGAAGCGGGACGAAGTACGGTCGCGGTCGCGGCCGCGCAGCGTCTCCAGAACCAGCAGAGACACCAGCAGCAGGGTCCTCAGCACCAGCAGCAGCTCCAACGTCCGGGTCCTCAGCACCAGCAGCAGCTCCACCGTCCGGGTCCTCAGCTCCAGTAGTAGCTCCAACGCCCGGGTCCGCAGCACCAGCAGCAGCGCCACCGCTCGGGTCCGCAGCACCAGCAGGAACTCCACCAGCCGGGTCCTCAGCTCCAGCAGCAGCTCCACCGCTCGGGTCCCCAGCTCCAGCAGCAGCTCCACCGTCCGGGTCCTCAGCTCCAGCAGTAGCTCCAACGCCCGGGTCCTCAGCACCAGCAGCAGCGCCACCCCCAGGGTCCGCAGCACCAGGAGCACCACTCCGAAGACTGCAGCGCCGCGTGTACCACTCTCGGATCTGCTGAATGGGGGGGAGCTCCTGGGCAGGAGGGGAAGTACCGGAACGAGCTCCAGGAGCACCTCTCCGGAGGCGGCAGTACTGTAGGTACCTCTCCTGCAGCTGCTGGGAGGAGAGGGCTCCTCCAGGTGTAGCACGCTCAGGCTCAGCACCTCCAGGCTCAGCACCCCCAGACTCCGCACCCCCAGGCTCAGCACCTCCAGGCTCCGCACCCCCAGGCTCCGCACCCCCAGGCTCCGCACCCTCAGACTCCTCACGGTCAGGCTCAGCACCCCCAGCAGGACGAGAGTCAACAGCTACCTCAGCAGGCTCAACCGGGTCTACCTGGGACACACCTGAGGGAGCGGCACCCTGAGGGGGGAGGGGGTCTGGGACCTCAGCACCTGGAGCGAGGAAGAGAGGCGGGGGGGGGAGCGGGGCAGTGCGGTAGGGGAAGAGGCGGTAGTAGGGGACGGACTCGTCAAAAGTGACGTCCTGAGAGGCAAGGACCCGACGCGAGGTGGCGTGGTAGAACTGCCAACCAGGCGCGTCCGGGACAAAGCCAAGGAAAACACAGGGGACAGCTCGACGGGAGAGCTTGTCCGCGGACGTGTCGCGAACAAAAGCTCGGGATCCCCAGACCCGAAAACGCGACGCATCGCCAGCCTCTCCCGTCCAACGCAGTGTCGGAGAAGTCTCCGGTAAGGAGACACGGGGCCAGAGGTTGAGCTGATGCGCAGCGTATCGGACTGCAAACGGCCACAGAAAGTGGGGGGCAGCCGCATGAACCAAGGAGGTACGAGCGACCTCCATGACCAAGCCAATGCGGCGCTCAGCAACCCCATTCTGCTGTGGAGAGGCCGGAAGCGTGAACGACTGCTCAATGCCCTCCTGCTGACAGAAGGCCTCCAAGAGGCCAGAGGAAAACTCCCCACCTCTGTTAGAGTGCAGACGCAGGACAGGGAAGTCGGAGCGGAAACGCTCACTGAGCTGGAGACGAGATCTGCGGATCCAAGGGATCAAGACATCAGGGACGTCACCCTTGGCGCGCAAGGGGAAGACCGTGGTGTAGCGCGAGAAGTCATCAACAACAATCAGGAAGTACCTCTCCTGACCCTGACCACGGACGCGGGCTGGGCCCCACACGTCCATGTGGAGCGTCTGCAAAGGAGCAGTCGTCGGGGGGAAGGAGGAGGAGTGAGGAGCGGCGCGCTGCCGCCCCTCGACACAGGGAAGACAGGGAGGAGCAGGCGAGGGTGGCAGGGGAGGGAGAACCCTGGGAAGACCAGTAACAAGGTCCCGTTTGTGCATGGCCCGAAGGCGCTGC